AAAAAACATCTGTAGTGCTCTTGGTCAAGATGCAGTTAGCGCCAGAAAATGCCAGCGTTGGTTTGAGAAATTTTGCGAGGGAAATTTTTCGTTAGATGACAAGAGTGGTCGAGGCCGTGTGTCCAATTTTGATCAAGAAGCTCTTCAAGCTCTTTTGGTGCAAAATCCTCAAATTACCCAACAAGAGCTTGCGACAACTTTAAATTGTTCACAAAAAACAATTTCCAATCAATTGTATGCACTTGGCAAAGTCCAAAAGTTTGGAAAATGGGTTCCTCATGAGTTGACCGACAACAACCGTAATCAAAGAGTCACAATTTGCAGTTCGCTCCTCTCTCGTCAAAACCGTTTGCCGTTTTTAGAGCAAATTGTTACCGGAGATGAAAAATGGGTGCTGTATGTTAATTTGAAAAGGCGGCCTCAATGGTTGGACAAAAATGAGGCTCCGCAGCCCACGCCAAAACCTGACTTGCATGCGAAAAAAGTGATGTTGTGTGTTTGGTGGAATTTTAAAGGAATTCTTCATTATGAACTTTTACCATCTAACCAAACCATTACAAGTGCAGTGTATAGTGCCCAATTGGAAAGGTTAGCCCAAGCTTTAAGAGAAAAAGAACCCGTGCTGATTAATCGGAAGGGCGTAATTCTTCACCACGATAACGCACGACCGCATACTGCAAGAATCACTGCTGAAAAACTGCGCCAGTTGGAATGGGAAGTTCTCCCTCAACCTGCATATTCTCCTGATATTGCCCCTTCCGATTACCATTTGTTTCGTTCTTTGCAAAACTTTCTTCTTGGAAAAAAATTTAATAATGAAGAATGCCTCAAAAATGCATTGACCGAATTTTTTGCATCAAAATCACAAGAATTTTACGACAGAGGGATTAAAATGCTTCCTGAGCGTTGGGCACAAGTAGTAGAAAACAACGGCAACTATATTGTTGATTAAATTTTGTTGTATTGTTCAAATAAATTCGATTTAAAAAAAGGTGTTAGAAAACGACATTAATTATTACTAGACATAATAGTTTGCTTGGCCTGCCTGTGAAGAATCAATAGAGCACATTCATTATGTTATTTGAGACGGCATGCCACTTTCCAAGGGGAGCTGTGCGGGGTAGCAATTATACATATAGGTTTGGCACCCCAGCCAGAGATCTAGGATGGGGAGGTATTTGAGAGGTAGCTCTTTTTAGGGGTAATGAAGTAATGGGAGTATATCTACCCGCCCAGGGGAGTCTGCAGAATGAAATAACAAGAGTTCCTAGAACTGCCTATTCGAAACGCCACATGATCCAATCAGGCAGAGAAGAGAGCAGTCAGAGGACAAGCTGAAAGCCAGGTGGTCGTGCTGTGAACCAAAGAGAACTTTTCAGTTAGACAGTGACTGGTAGTGCCAGATGTTCCAGAGGGGGCAACTTAAACTACTGAGGACTGAAGGGTTAGGAGTCACTGAAAAACAAGGAGGTCACTTAATGACTTTGAAAGTAACTTAGTGATTCTCGTAGGCCTACAAATGAGGCAGTGAGAAATAAAATTGGCAGGTGTAGGTGCCAGTGTCTGCATTTTGGGAAGCAAAGAAAGTTTAAAAATAAGGTGCTGCGTAGACAGTGGGAGGAGGAGCAGGATTGTCAGGTTTCACTGGGTTCCCGTTTGGTGAGACACCATGATTTTCTGAAGGCACCAGTCTGGGCAGGGCTGTGTATACTCATGTCAGAAAGTGATTTTAATTTTTGCAAGCAAGGGAGAGAGTGCTTACCCAATTTTGGCAAGTGTAGAAAAGGTGAGCAGTTCTCTCTCTCTCTCTCTCTCTTTTTAATATATTTTATTGATTTTTTTACAGAGAGGAAGACAGAGGGATAGAGAGTTAGAAACATCGATGAGAGAGAATCATCGATCAGCTGCCTCTTGCACACCCCCTACTGGGGATGTGCCCACAACCAAGGCACATGCCCTTGATCGGAATCGAACCCAGGACCCTTCAGTCCACAGGCTGATTCTCTATCCACTGAACCAAACTGGTTTCGGCGAGCAGTTCTCTTGATCTATAACAGAATACGTTTTTATTTTCCCGAAACCCCTCTGGAACATTGGCGAGTTTTCTGAATGCAGACCATCATCTTCCTTAATGTCATCTATGCTAAAGTGTAGCATTGCAGCCAAATAATAATTATATTTAAACTACCTAGAAAAAACTAAGGCAAGGTGCTATTATTTTTCTGGGTCCTAGAATGTTTAGTTTAAACTTTAGGGAAAAAATTCAGTGTTCTGAGCAAAGGAAGAAATTTGCTTGTTAAAATATGTGGTATTGCATTTAATTATTGCAGTGTATATACTTGTGATCAACTGGTTGCTGAACATTGACATGCACATTGGTGGAAGCATGTCTTTCATGCTGTATGTTAGTGGGAAGAAATACTTCAAGTTAGTTGAATGGATTAAACTATCTTATTTACTTTTCCATATAGACACTACATGTGAAAGCCATATTAGGAATCCTCTCTCCTTTATCTGCTTTCAAGATAGTTACTGAGATTGAATGCATAAAACAAAGGACACTTATATAATTTAATTGTGGGAATGCTGTTACATGATTTCTTTCGTGCTGATTCCAGGAAATTCTAGAATGATGTTGTGCATTTGTATCTGAACAGAATTGTATAGAATTTCTAGCCCATGTTTGTTTCCCTATTGAAAATGACAATATCTAGCTCAGGATATTCAGTAAATGTAACGTTATCTATAATAATAAAAGCGTAATATGCTAATTAGACCAGACCTCCTTCCCAATGACCTGGACAAAGCCAGGGCTATGAGAGAATCCTGGGTCCCAGGTGCCAGAGGGAAGGGGGTGGGGGAATACTCCTGCACGAATTTTGTGCATAGGATCTAGTTTATCAATAAAAAAGCATTGTTATTTGAAACAATGCTTTTAATTACTAGGGACTTTGCTTTTTGCATTTGTTTTGAGCAGTTGAGTGAGGAACATGGATATCAAGGGCAGCATAGTGGAAATGTTGAAAACATTTGTCAGTAGGTTGATGATGGAGATGAAATGTTGGACTGGGTATATATAGAGTTTTAGAATTTAGAATATGATAAGAAAGAAGAGTAAAATTTCATGTGTTTAGAGTTCTCTTTACGGATCTGTGAGTCTGAAATAAGACCAAGATTCAGGGAATAAAGGAGGAAAGATTCCTTAGGGAGCAAAATAGATGTACTTTAGTCCCTTAACCTTTATAGGAGAGGCCTCTGCATTCTTTTAGCTTTTTAGGGCTTTACTTGATGTGTCTCCATCACACTATTGTATGTAATTGTTCTAAGAAATTTGTTAGGTTTTCCAGCCCACAGATAATTTACAGGAAGGCAAATTGCTTAAGTAGAAATGACAAAGAAGTGAAAACTAACCCCCTCCAAAAATATCAGAGGTAAAAAGTTGTAAAAGCATTAAGGATATATTGGATACACAGCCCATACAGCTACCTCAGTGAGCTAGCTTCTGAGTTCATGTATGATCTGTGAAGGAAGGTTAAATTACTTTTGACCCTTGAACAACATTGGTTTGCCCTGCCCGAATTCACTTAAGCATGCATTTGTTCCTATAAACATATGGGAACTGCTGGTATCTAGGTTTCACGTCCCTGGAAACAACCAACAATATTATCCATCTGCAATTGGGAATCCAACAACACAGAAGGCACGCTGTAGGCATTGTTCACCACTTTCTCTAGGCGACCAGCATGCAGGGGTTTTTGTATCCATGGGGTGTCCTGGCACCCATCCCCCACTGACACGGAGGAAACACTCTACTTACGTTTTGGAGAATTCACAAGTCACCTACGGATTTTTAATCTGTGTGGGAACCCCTGAAGTGCCGCATTGTGCAAGAGTCCATTGTGCAAGAGTCCATTGTGTAAAGTTAAGTTAAGAAAGCAGAATATTTTTCATGTGAGGTTGTTCGAAGTAATGCAATTTGATTTTATTTTTATTACTTTTAAAATCTATTTTATTGATTTTTTACAAAGAGGAGGGGAGAGGGATAGAGAGTTAGAAACATTGATGAGAAACATCCATCAGCTGCCTCCTGCACACCCCATACTGGGGATGTGCCTGTAACCAGGGTACATGCCCTTGACCAGAATTGAACCTGGGACCCTTCAATCTGCCTGCTGATACTATTATCCACTGAGCCAAACCGGTTCAGGCTACAATTTGATTTTAAATGGTGTTTACTCGTAAGAATGCTCATTTCACCTATATGAAATGAAGTCTTATATTTTGAAATAGTTTATTTCTATCTATGAAATCTACAATACTTAAATAATAATTACCTCACCCTGACTGGATTGGCTCAGTGGATAGAGTGTCAACCTGCAGACTGAAAGGTCCCAGGTTTGATTCCAGTCAAGGGCATGTACCTGGGTTATGGGTACATCCCCTGTAGGAGGTTTGCAGGAAGCAGCTGATCATCAATGTTTCTCTCTCATCTATCCCCCTCCCTTTCTCTCCATCCTCCTCCGTTTCTCTCTGTAAAAAATCAAAATATATATATATTTTTTTAAAAAATAATAATTACCTCTACCCGTAGCATTTTTTGAGCACTCACTGGGCATAGGGGTAGCAGGGAAAAGAAGGCATATGACCCTGACCTCTAGGAACCTGTCTCCTGAGAGGAGACCTAGCCTGAAGTGACAAGTCACCATCAGTTTGCATTTCAAACTGTGCAAGAGGACTCTGATCTAGGGTTACAGACTGTAGAAGTTGTCTTAGGGGAGAGGTGAGCGTGCAATGAACTGAGAAACACTGAGGAAGGAAGCACACCTATCAGTATATTTTAAAACCAAAAATATTGCTGCTGTTTCTTTAACTTACTGTTGAATGAATATTCATTCACCTTATTCCCTGAGAAACCATAAGCTCTCCAAGGACCTGCCAGAATCCGAGGCTGGTGAAAAAAAGAAATACTTGACTTTCGTGTCTTATTCTCTCATGCCCAGATGCCTGTGATGAGATACCAAGATATGTCTCCATGAAACCCAAGGGTAATCCTGTGGCCCCTGTAGAAGTTGGGTTCAAAGCAGAATACGAGTGTCGCCCAGGATACAGGTTTATTGTGCCTCTTGTTCGTCCCACCTCTACTGTTTGTCAGGCAGATGGCACATGGGCACCTACTCTCCAGGAAATTTGTACAAGTAAGTACACAAAACTCCTTATTTTTACTGTTCGAAAGATTCTCATACCTTTTAGATGGCATATTCTGCTACTACAGTGATGGTTTTCTCATGTGGATGTAGGTTTTAAATAGTCGTGAATCTTGTTAATTGTCTGGGTAAATGTGAATCTTACATTTTGGCCTTTTAATAGTTAAAGAAAAGTAGTATTTCCACAGTGGAGCAATGTAGAATTTTGGTTTTGCTTTAGATTTGTTTTGGAGTTAGTATAAAACAATGAAATTCAAAATTTTCTTTCAGGAAAATCATGTCCACATCCAGGAGAGCCCTTAAATGGCCGTGTAGACGGAAGTACTCAGTTTGGTTCACAGGTTAACTATTCTTGTAATGAGGGGTAAGTAGAGGAAATAGGTAAATGTTACTACCTCTGTTTTTATTTTGCTTCTCTTCTAAGTATTCCCATAATGTTAATTTAATTTTGCTTTGTGTGTGAGAAGTTGTACTTATAGCCAATCAACTCTTCAGCTTCTTATAGAGACTGGAAAGATATGTAATGAATAGAAAGGAATTTCCATTGAAGTAAACAGGACTATATAATGCTATCCTATTTAATAAAAGCCTAATATGCTAAATGTCTAGCATCCAGTCATCCATTCAACCAATCAAAGAGAAATATGCTAATGATACGCTAAGGCTTCTCAACAGCTCACTATGACATGTGCACTGACCACTGGGGAAGACAGTTGACCAGTCGCTATGATGTACTCTGACCACCAGGAGGCATACACTCCTACCGATAGGTTAACTTGCTGCTGGGCTCTGGCCGATTGGGACTGAGTGAGATGAGCCAGACATGTCCTAGAGCCCTCCCACAGTCCCTCTCTAGCTGGCCATCCTCCTGCATCCCTCCCTGGCCCTCCTGCAATCTGGGAAGATGTTGGAGAGCCATTTTCAGTCCAATCTCACAGGCCAGGTGAGGGGACCCCACTGGTGCATGAGTTTGTGCACTGGGCCTCTAGTCACATATAATAAAATCCTAATATGCTAAGAGTCCGACCATTCTCGCTCAGTCCCATTCGGCCGGACCCCAGCAGCAAGCTAACATACAGGTTGGAGCATCTGCCCCTGGTGGTCAGTGCACATCATAGAGTCTGATTAACCAGTTGACTGCCCCTTGGTAGTCAGTGCACGTCATACTGAGTGGTTGAGTGGCCTTAGCATATAATTAGCATATTATGCTTTGATTGGTTGAACAACTGACAGGTCGACCAGACACTTAGCATATTAGGCTTTAATAAACAGACAGTTAGACATCCCCCGAGAGGTCCCAGAATGGAGAGAGTGTAGGCCGGGCTGAAGGACCTCCCACCCACCCTCATGCACGGGGCCTCTAGTGTGTAGGTAGGTCAGTGCTGTAGGTCAGTGTGTGCTCAACTGCAGCAACTCTCTCTTTCATTAAATTATAGATTTAGTTAGTACTTTCTTTTATTTTTTTTTTTTTCTTAAATATATTTTATTGATTTTTTTTACAGAGCAGAAGAGAGAGGAATTAGAGAGTTAGAAACATTGATGACAGAGAATCATTAATCAGCTGCCTCTTACACATCCCCTACTGGGGATGTTCCCGCAACCCTGGTACATGCCCTTGACAGGAATCGAACCCGGGACCTTTCAGTCCGCAGACCGACGCTCTACCACTGAGCCAAACCGGTTTCTGCTAGTTAGTACTTTCATTATAGGCTATTTAAGAAACTTTTCCCTCAAGCTACTATAGAAAAAGAACCATGTAAAATTTTTTTTCATTATTGCATGCATTATGTTAACTGGTTAAACAAACAGCACAATAGTAATCTTTTTTTCTTCTCACTTAGTTATTACTTAGTTGGAAATTCATTTCTGCGTTGTGAACTTATTGGAAATGAAGTGGCTTGGAGTGGTGACGCCCCACAGTGTAACAGTAAGTATACTGTGTCTTTAGAATTTAGATCAGTAGTTCTCAAACTTTAGGCCTTGATTTGACTTCATGCCTTTACATTTTGAAAGACCCTCACATAGCTTTTCTTCAGGTGGCATGTGGCTATTGCTATTGCATTATATCGGAATTATCCTTGAAAAGTTTTAAAAATAATTACTTATTAAAAACATTAAGCACAATACATATTAGTATATGCGACATATTTTTTAAGGAAAACCAAGATTTTTGCCGAAACCGGTTTGGCTCAGTGGATAGAGCATCGGCCTGTGGACTGAAAGGTCCCGGGTTCGATTCCGCTCAAGGGCATGTACCTTGGTTGCGGGCACATTCCTGGTTGGGGGTGTGCAGGAGGCAGCTGGTCAATGATTCTCTCTCATTGATGTTTCTAGCTCTCCCTCTCCCTTCCTCTCTTTAAAAAATCAATAAAATAATTAAAAAAAAAAAAAAAAAAGGAAAACCAAGATTTTTAAAAATGTGAAGATAGTGTTATTGTTTTACGTGTTTGCAAACTTATCAATATGTGGCTTCATTGTAGACCTCAGGATTTGGGCTGTTGCATTAACACACTATCTGTACCTTTGCCAAATTGCATTACATATTCTTATGGATGAAAAAGATCATAGTTTATTTTTTCAAAGAAACTGTGTTTCAAATGATATTGAATATTCAACTAGATTGTAGAAATTATATGTTAATAGATTTATTAATGGCAATTCATAAGGCATTACAATGCTGTCTTAATCTTTTTTATCTTTTATCTTTTTTTTTTCCTTTGTTGTCCTCTTTTTTTCTCTTTTTAAGGGATTTTGTGTAAACCACCTCCACAAATACAAAATGGAGAATTCACCAATAGCCAAAAGGATACATTTGAATATAATGAAGTAGTCACTTACAGCTGTAAGCCTTCCGGTGGATCAGATCCATATTCCCTTGTTGGAAATAGCACATTGAGATGTTCTGGGCAAGACAAATGGAGTAGTGACCCTCCTGAGTGTAAAGGTAATAATATTTTTATTTCTTTCTTCACTTGACTAATAAGTAAACAGAATAGCCACATATGTTCCCTCATCCTGTTAAATTGTTTTTTAATTTAATTTTTAAAAGGTAAAATTGAATAGAAACTAATTTTACTTGTAGCATTCCCCACTCTTCACTGTACATATTCTTGGCATTCTAACTTATACTGCATTGTGAATTCCTATGTAGATGCATGAGTTGGGATTTTTCTTTTTATTCTTCCAAAGATCAAAAAACTCAACACACATTTGTTTAAAAATAACAGATTTATTTTGTGTTGCAAGAAGTCTAAGAGTACAGAGAAGGAAAAAATGGTAAATTATAAAAGACTTAAGTTTCTCACCAATACAATTGATAAACTCTGGACAAAACATTAAGCATACCTTGTTTAATAGCACTTTAATTTATTGCATTTCACAGATATTTTGTTTTTAAAAATTAAAGGCAAGACCTCAACAGCAAATTGATTTTGCCTTGCATTATGATGATACTCATTTTATTGCTGTGGATTGATACCAAACCTGCTATATCTTTGACATATGCCTGTACTTTAAAAACAATGTTGAAGGCCTTAGAGCATGACTTAAAACAGGGAGGCAATGCATGGATGGTATTTGACTCTTGAAAGAAAGGAACCACCAAATAATACCAAAATAATTACTCTTGAAATGGGCAAATAGAATATCCCATTCTTCAATTACGTATTCTAGGCATTAAGGTAATTTTTAACAGATTTCAAAAGATTGAAATCATTTACTATACATCATCAGATGACAGTGGAATGAATGTAGATATCAAAATAAACCCTATCGAATAAAAGAGTAATATGCAAATTGACTGTACCTCTGCTACACCCACAAGCCACACCTACTAGCCAATCAGGAGTGAATATGCAAATAAACTCAACCAATTGGCTATGGCCATGGTGAGCAGAGGGCTTGGGTTTCCCCAGCAATGGAGGAAGCCAAGCTTTCCACCTGCCCTTGTCGGCTTAGGCCTCCACTTAAGGCTACAAAGTTTCAATGATAGAAGATAAAATAAATCCCAACAAAAAATGGTGGCTGCCATGGAGGAAGCCAAGGTTCTGCAGCCCTGGCTGGCCGTTTCAGGCTACAAAGTTTCAATTATAGAAGATAAATAAATCCCAACAGAAATGCTGCCACCATGGAGTGAGCAGAAGGCTTGGCTCTGCTCCAAACTACAAAGCTTCAGTTGTAGAAGATAAATAAATCCCAGATACCAGGGCCTCCGCTTGGGTTACTGGTGAATGTGGCTGGCCTGCAAACCACCACAGGTCCCTCACCCAGGCCACCCCACACCCCAAGGGAATCCCCAACCTGATCCGGGACACCCTTCAGGGCAAACCAGCTAGCCCCCACTCATGCACCAGGCCTTTATCCTATCTAATTCTATCTAATAAAAGAATAATATGCAAATTGAGTGTTTATCTAACATACAAGATGGATGCCCCCATGTGGACACAAGATGGCCTGCAGGGGAGGGCAGTTGGGGGTGACAGGCCTGCAGGGGAGGGCAGTTGGGGGATAACAGGCTGGCAGGAGAGCAGTTAGGCATTAGTCAGGCTGGCACGGGAGTGGTTAGGAAGTGATCAGGCTGGTAGGCAGAAGCAGTTATTAGTGGCAATCAGGAAGGCAGGCAGGCGATCAGTTGGGAGCCAGCAGTCCTGGATTGTGAGAGGGATGTCCAACTGCCATTTAGGCCAGATCTCCCCCCTCTCCCATGCATGAATTTAGTGCACCATGCCTCTAGTATATCTATAAAATCCCCAAATATATAACTCATGATACAAACAAGACTTCACAATCAAAATTAGAAAGTGTGCCAGGCCAGCACAGCCAAGGGTTCAGTGAGCCTGAGGGGAGGCAGTGAACGATAAAAGACAGACAGCCGAAGCCGTTTTGGCTCAGCTGTAGTGTGTCGGTCTGCGGACTGAAGGGTCCCGGGTTCGATTCTGGTCAAAGGCATGTACGTTGGTTGTGGGGTGTGCAAGAGGCAGCTGGTCAATATTTCTCTCTCATCGACGTTTCTAGCTCTCTGTCTCTCTCCCTTCCTCTCTGTAAAAAAATCAATAAAATATATTTTAAAAAGAAAAGACAGACAAAGAGAATATAGCTGGGGCTCCGTGGATCTCCTGTGCCTGGCTGAGGCCACAGAGAAGGATCCTCAGCAAGCTGAGGCTTTATTTTATAGCAAGAAGTAAACAAGGTAGTGGTCACTATAGTTACAATGTTCTTGTGAGTTTCATTGTTTGGGCAGCACTTGCTGCACCTCCTACAGCCCATTAGCTACCCAGGAAGGAACCAGGGGGCGGCCATAAGGTCAAGCTTAATTGTACTAAGAGGGCTCTGCCCTCTAAGCTGGGACTTATTTATGTCTCTGCCACAGATCAATCCAAGGCTTAATTCTATAGCCGCTTCTTACAAGAAAGTATTGTGAAGTGAATAAAATGCCATACATCAACATTTGTGGGATACAGCAAAAAGCATTAGTAGGCTACTAATAGCATGAAATTCTTCTATTAGAAAAGGGGAAACACCTCAAATCAGTAATACAGACATCTGTTTGAACCTAAAACAAAGAGCAAATTGTACTCCAACTAAGTAAACAAAAGGAAAGATAGAAATCAATGAAATTGAAAAGAGAAAAATATAGAATTAGTGAAATCACCTAGTTATTAGAGATCAATTCAATGTGTTAACATATAACCATTCTGACAGAAAAGAACGAAAATACAAGTTACCAATATTAAGAATGAAAAAGAAGACATCACTAAATATATCTGACAGGTATTGAAAGGATAATAAGAGAGTAACAAAAACGACTTTATGTCTATAGATCTGACAACGTACCTTCTCATAAAGAGAACTGTTCTCCCTGGGGAATCTATCAGACATTTCAGGGGTAAATAAAAGCAGTGCTACACAATCCCTTCAGAAAAATCCAAAAGGAGGTGTGGGGGAATACATCTCCCCTCATTTCATGAGGATTGCATTGCTCCCATACTAAAACCAGACAGAAATATTTCAGGAACATTAAAAACAATATCCATAATGAACATAGAACCAAAAGTCCTCAACAAAATAGTAACAGATCAAATCCTATAATAAGTACATCATAATCAAATACAATTTATTCCACGTATGCAATGTTAATTTAAATTTAAAAATTAAATTTACCATATCAGGACATATAAAGAAGAAAACTATACATGATTATCTTTTTTTTTTTTTAATATATATTTTATTGAGTTTTTACAGAGAGGAAGAGAGAGGGATAGAGAGTTAGAAACATCGATGAGAGAGAATCATCGATCAGCTGCCTCCGTCACACCCCCAATCAAATTGTATTTGATTATGATGTACTTATTATAGGATTTGATCTGTTACTATTTTGTTGAGAACTTTTCGTTCTATGTTCATTATGGATATTGTTTTTAATGTTCCTGAAATATTTCTGTGTGGTTTTAGTATGGGAGCAATGCAATCCTCATGAAATGAGGGGAGATGTATTCCCCCACACCTCCTTTTGGATTTTTCTGAAGGGGTTGTGCAACCAAGGCACATACCCTTGACCAGAATTGAACCCGGGACCTTTGAGTCTGCAGGCTGACGCTCTATCCACTGAGCCAAACCGGTTTCGGCTATACATGATTATCTTAATGCGAAAAAAAGCATTTGACAGAATTCATCATTTCATTATACAACTAAGAATAGAATTATCTGTCCCTGAAAAATGGCTCTTAAAAAAATTCCATAGCTGACATTTCACTTACTGGTACCTGAATGATTTATTTCCCCATTTGGTAGGAACAAGACTAGGATAGTTCCTGCCCAGTAAAGTAAGGCAAGAAATAGAAATAGATATACATGATAAGATAAACAAATAAAGTAGATTATATTTACTATATATCATTGTCCATGTAGAAAATTCAAAAGCCTCAAGTTTTAGCTAGGTTGCAAGCATAATAAGATCAATGTACAGATATCAATTGTATGTCTATATTTTTGTAAGAAATCCGTAAGAAATTAAAAATTTTTTACATAATTTCTACTACATTTTCAAACTAAATACAGTATTTGAAAATAAATTGTATAACACTTGTGCAGGATTTAAATGGTAAAAATAACATTTTTATAGAATAAATTAATAGACCCTAATAGAAATATAGTGGTTCTGGCCAGGACTGGTTTGGCTCAGTGGATAGAGCGTCGGCCTGTGGACTGAAAGGTCCCGGGTTCGATTCCGGGCAAGGGCATGTACCTTGGTTGCGGGCACATCCCCAGCAGGGGGTGTGCAAGAGGCAGCTGATCGATGATTCTCTATCATCGATGTTTCTAACTCTCTCTTCCTCTCTATGAAAAATCAATAAAATATATTTTTTTAAAAAAAAGGAAATATACTGGTTGTGAATTAGAAGGGTAAATCATAGCAAAGATAGCAATTTTCCATAATTAATCTATAATTTTTGGCACAGTCCCATTAAAAATCTTAATAGAACTTTTTGTATAAATAGACAAACTGATTCTAAAATTTACATGAAAATACAGCAGAGGCATAAAAATTTTGAAAAAGTAACAGGAATCATTCTACATATTATCAAACCTTATGAAACACTAGAGGTCCAATGCATGAAATTCATGCATTTGGCAGGAGGGCCGGGGGAAGGGGGTGTCCCTCTGCCCAGCCTGCAACCTCTCTAGTCTGATCCCTCCAGGGCAGTCTGACATCCCTCTCACAATTCAGGACCACTGGCTCCTAACCACTCACCTGCCTGCCTGCCTGATTGCCCCTAACTGCTTCTGCCTGCCAACCTAATCACCATTCCCCAGTTAGTCTGATCAACGCCTAACTGCTCCCCTGCAAGCCCAATTGCCCCCAACTGCGCTCCTCTGCTGGCCTAGTCACCCCAACTACCGTCCTCTGCTGGCCCGGTCACCCCTATCTGCCCTCCCCTGAAGGCC